CTGTTGAGACTTAATCTAACTCATATGGATTGTCTCCTATCAAGTTTCCCTGCATCCCTATGTTAATTAGAGTAGGTTAAGAGTATAGACACTCAGCTAGAGCAAATGACAATTGTGTTTTTTTATAAATGTAATTTTATTTTATCATGTTTTGTGCATATTGTGTGCATGTGTGTCTGTGTGATCCTGCCAGATCCTATGGACTGGAGTTATAGACAGTTGTAAGTTGCCATGTGGGTTCTGGGAAATGAACCTGGATCCTCTGGAAGAACAGCCAATGCTTCTAACAGCTGAGCATCTCTCCAGCCTCAACAGTTTTATTATTTAACATATCCCTATGGAAAAAAAGAGATACAATTAGCTTCTTTGTCTCCGTGTGTATGCATATGCCTGTGAATATTATGCACACAATTTCTTTCTTTCTCTTTATTTTCTTTATTCTTCTCTCATGCAGTGCATCCTCTCTCTTCACTCTTCCCAGTTCCCAGCCCCTGACCTTCCCTCTCTCCCAGATCCACCACTTCCCCATTTCCCTTCAGAAAAGAGCAAACCTCACAGAGATATCGACCATACATGATATAATAAGATATAATAAGAGTAGGCATAAACCCCCATATGGAGGCTGAACAAGGCAACTCAGTAGGAGGAAAGGAGTCCCAAGAGCAGGCAAAAGTGAGAGACACCCCATTCCCACTATTAGAAATCCCACAAAAACCCCAAGCTAAACAACCACACTGTATGCAGAAGACCTAGTGCAGGCCCATACATGCTCTGTGCTTGCCTCTTCACAGTCTATGTGAGCCACTATGATCCCTGCTTAGTTGATTCTGTGAGCCATGTTCTTTTGGTGCCCTGACTCTTCTGGCACCTACAGTCCTTCCCCTCTCCCATGGGGTTCATCAAGCTCCACCCAGTGTTTGGCTGTGCCTCTCTTCATCTGCTCCCATCAGCTGCAAAAGGAAGCCTCTTGGATGACAACTGGGTCAGGTGCCAGTATATGAGTATAGCAGAATATCATTAGCAATAATTTCATTGGCTTGTGTTTTTGTTGTTATTATTGATGCTAGTGGTGGTGGTGGTGCTGGCTTTTTCCTATCATGTTTGGGTCTACTCTTAGGTCTCTGGGCTATCCAGCTTCCAGTTCTTGGCCATCTAGGCAGTGTCAGGCACAGATTCCCTCTCATGGCTTAGGCCTCAAGTTAGATCAGTCATTGGCTGGCCATTCCCACAAGCTCTGAACGACCATTGTCCCAGCACATCTCACAGACAGGACAGGTTATAGTTTAAAGGTTTTGTGGCTTGGTTGATGTCCCAGTCCCACCACTGGAAGCCTTGCCTAGTTACAGAAGGTGTCTTGTTCAGTCTCCATATCCTCCGTTATTAGGAATCCTTGCTAGATCTCCCTCATAAGTACCAGGAGGTTTCCACCACACTAGGTTTTCATATCACTCCCTAAATGCCCTATAGTTCCAGCTGTCTCTCTCCATACTCTCTCCCTCCATCCCTCCCTGCCTCCACTTGATCCCTCCTGTTCCCATCCCATCTGCTTCCAAGACACCTGCAAAAATATTTTCCCTTCACAGGGAGATCATGTTTCCTTCCTTGAGCCTTCCTGATACTTAGCCTCTCTGAGTCTATGGATTGCAGTGATCATATACATGGTATCCTTTCTCCCTGTGAATAGTACTTATTTCCCTCTGCGCATCACACAATGTATTGTTTACTGACTACCAGATAATAGAAATTATTGACTTTAGAACATCTTTTAAGCAAAAATTTAGTATAAAAATGATATCATTAGTTCTAATAGTTGACTGAGTTAAGACTACCAGTGACATATGATACATGCTTACAAGTCTAAGTAAAATGCAACATAGTGAAACTACAGGTTTTTGTGTTGTCAGAATATATGCTTTTTGGGGGTCTCATTTTTTATACATTTAAATTACTTATTTTATAAACATTCTGTTCTGAGAAATAGCAATATATATAGTTTATGTATCTCTGTGGATACATTTCAATTCCATGATGTTATTGTGTCTAGGATTCTCGGGATTTAGCTATGACCTTTTAATGAGAGAACTCCCATAGACAGTTTACTAAAAACTTACAAGTGTTTATGAGAATGACTCTTACTAGAAATCAGGTAGGATTGCATAAACTAAATCCTGTTCTTTGACATCTGAAGCTGAAGTCTCCTTCCTGCTGGTGGGTTTGTCTTTCTCTTCAATAGGGAGGTAGAGTATATCATAAGGTACTCCCATTAATGTGTTATTAATAAAGTTTTTAATTTCAGGATGAAATATTTGTTGTTGTTTTAAAGCATCATTGCTTCCAAATTCTGTTTCTACTTTCATTTCATTTGATTAACTAGAAAGTTTAAACTCAAGGATTTTTGCTAACTGTGAAAAACTAAAGAAAAAGGTTTAGCCCCACTTTGGATTTTCAGGTGTCCTTCTAAATCTGAGCTCTGTGGGAAGCTCATCTAGCATGGCTATCCTCGGGGTCTCTTTCAACATTTTCTCCCTGTAGTAAACTGCAGGCCTGGAAATTATTGTAATGTGCTGCCAAACTCCATGACTACAGTATTCAATACATTCCTGCCATTTGCTTATGAGTATTTTGTTTTTAAATGTTTCTTCATATAATTTTTAAATTAAAAATATTAACACATTTTTTATAATGAAAAAGTGTTAGAAACTCATGTTAATCCACCAGTTTAAAAGCAAGAATTCTACAAGTTGAACATAGAAAATAATTTGTGAAGAAATGTCTAAAGTTACTCAGCAGCGTCTGTGTTCTAAGGCTAGGAAAATGGCTTAGTGGATAAAAGTGCCTGGTCTGTAAGTATGAGGGCCTGAGTTCAAATCTCCAATACCCATGTTGAAAGCTGGAAGTGGTTGCTCATAACTGTAAACCCCAGCATAGAGTGGGGCTGGATTTCAAGAGTCAGCTTCTCTGAGACAGCAAGCCCCCATTGCAGAGAGAAACCTGGTCTCTACTACTAAGGTAGAGAGGTCTATAAAGGAACATATGCAAAGGCCTGCTCTGGTGTCTGTGTATGCACAAGTGTACACACACACACACACATCAAAAACCCATGTTTTTATTATCCTCTATAGCTAAGGATAAATGATTTTAATGAAAACCAAGTGAAATTTAAGGACAGAATAATTGAATACAGTTCTCAGGGTCTGTCTCACCAAATGAAACTGCTCTTTGAAAAGATCTAATAAAATAGGAAGGCAGATCTTTCCTTCTGATGCTAGAGTGGAGATGAAGTAGCTAGGTGAACAAGTCAGTCCAAGGCCCAATGGCTAGGATTGTTTTATATGTGTAGTGTTAGTCATAAATGTTTATAATTTAAATGTATAGCATTGTGTTTTAGCATGTACCAAATACATTATAAACACTGGGTTTCACTTTATTGTATAGCATGTAGCTTATGAAGTATCTGCTATATCAAAAATTTACTGATTTAAAATAATTAAGGACTTTTATATACAAACACTTGAGGAGTCATTATATGATAGATTGAGAACACTGTTTCCTTTGTTAGTAAAGTCATTCTGCTGTATCATTTTCATTTCTGAGACAGAAAAAATGGATTCCTGATAAATGTATCTATCACTATGGCAGCCTATAAAATTTTATCTTCATAATATTGATGGGAAAAATACCAACTAATTTAAAGTAATTACTATTTTAGTAAACTTATTGGTCTCTTGCTTTTTGTGGTTATTGTTTTGGTTGTTATTATTAATGTAATTTTTCAAATTGTTATTATTAAAATATAGTCTACTTTTTTAGTAAACAAATATTTTTTTCCATTTCCTCCTCATTTTAGTTATGAGTCTTGGCTAGCAGAAGAAAATATCTGGACATAAGTATTTTTCCATGAGACAGGAGCTCTAGGTAGACCAGCTATGTAAACCAAGCTGGCCTTGAACTCACAGAAATCCACTTGCTTCTGCCTCCCAAGTGCTGAGATTAAATGCAGTGTACCACTAAATCCAGCATTTTGAAACATTTTTAATGTATGTTAACTTTGCAGATCTGAGGCCAGGTCTACCCATGTTATATATATACAGACAACTACAAAAGAAATCATTTGCCTTATATCTGTTTTCTTGTAAATATTAATATAAAATATGTATTTGTGGATTTATGTAGGATCTGAATATCTAATGAAAGACATTCAGCTTGAAAAAAATCTACTTTTTTTAGTCTACTTCCACTTTTATTAGTAAATGATTCTCAGTTATGATTTTACATGAACTACAAAGGACAGCAAACCTGAATATATCTTTTTGTTAGCCTTATCCTGAAAACTAAATTTGCAGAAAGGTTAATAATAAGCTCGTGTTAACCTTTAACTTCTAACTGGAATATCCTCTGATATAATTAATCTAAGCAATTAGTATAATACAAAGGGTCTTAAAACACCAATTGGATCAAGGAAGGGGATTAATTATCTTGATGGTATATTAAAACAATAATGATTTGATAGTCAAAAATTTTAAACTTTTACATTTCAGTAATTTGTAATAATTGTTTTTGTTGAATATCAGCTGTCAGTGACTATGTCAAGGCACTAAGGAATCTTGAAGTACTCGAAATGATAGGTCATTATTATGCCATTTGTTTCTTTATTGGTAGTATTCCTTAGGTTTTTCTGCTCCTACTTTAAAATTATAATAACCTAATTAGAAGTTCCTATTTTAATTGTCTGGATAATAGATAATCAATTTGCTAATGTTGATTTGTTTGAAAAATTATTATTATTTTCTATTTTTCAATGAACAAACTAGATAAGTTTCCAAAATAGATAAGGTGAAAAGTGTAATGGAAACCACACAGAAATGATGGTGAAGGCAAAATTTAGGGAAGACATTAGAAAGTTAGTCACAATTTTTTCATGCATTATAAACCATTAAGGTCTATCAAAAGATATTCTCTTTTGTAAGAAGAAATTGCAATATTTTTATCTTTATTTTCAGTAAAAGTTATCAAAGCCTTGACCAGTTATCAGCAGAAGTTAGCCTTTCTCAGGCCTCATTGGATCCCAGCCACTCACAAGAAGGAGACGGAAAGCAAGACTCATTGAATTTCATCGGTGAAGGTAGTATGCTGGCTGGTTTTACATCCACTTGACACAAGCTAAAGTCATTTGAGAGGAGGGAACCACAGTAATAAAAGGCTTCTGTAGGTGTGGGCACTAGGCAAGCCTACAAGGCATCTTCTGAATTAGTGATTGATGGGGAGGGCCTAGGCCATTGTGGGTGGTAGCATCCTGAGCTAGTAGTCCTGGGTTCTATAAGAAAACAGGCTGAGCAAGCCATGGGGAGCAAGTCAGTAAACAGCACCCCTCCATGGCCTCTGCATCAGCTTCTGTCTCCAGGCTCCTGCCCTGTATGAGTTACTGCCTTGACTTCCTTCAATAATCAACTATGATATGGAAGTGTAAGCTGAATAAACCCTTTCCCCTCCAGCTTGTTTTTGGTTATGGTGTTTCATCATAGCAATAATAACCTACCTAAAACAATAAGGAAATGACTTTGGTATTTGTGAGCAATTTAACATCTCTGGTCTTTAAGAACAAAGTGTTCTTATGTAGCTCACACTGGCTTTAAGCTTGTAACCCTTTTAACTCTCGCTCTGGAGTCTGGGACTATAGATATGTCCCACATATGTACACACATGCACGTATTCAAATAGATAAACATTAAGAACAAGTAAGTTTTATTTATTCTTAATAAGTTGCATTCATGACATTTCATAAGTGTTTTAATGCACTCTGGTTTCTTTTTCAGCCTCTCATTTCCCTTCCATACCTGCAAGCCTCTCCTCTTCCTCACAAATCTTTTCCTCATATTCATTATTCATCTTGTTTGTTTTGTGTCCCACAGAGTTTAACTAGTGTAGTCTGCGTGATCCCATGTTTACAGCTGTTCATCAGGGCCTGGTGTGCACATCTGGGTGCTGTGCCCTCCCACTCTTCTCCTAGACTCTATTAGTTGCCAATAGATCAGCAATAAGTGGTAGGGCCTGTGAGCTCCTTCCTCACTGTGACTCTTAGGGAGCCCCATTGTTGTGTGGGCCCAGTGCGAGTAGGCACAGTTGCTCAGAGTTTATGACTGCTCAGACCATGTTTGTGATTAATTATAAGTTGGCATTTCACAGGCCAGTAGGTTCTTACGTGTTTTCTGGTCTCCCTTCTGAAAATGTTACAAAAGTGGTGATATAAATATCTCAGTCAGGGCTGAGCCCTTACTTCTTTTTATTCTCAACATCTTGTATTGTTAAGGATCTCTGCATTGCTTCCATTCACCATAAGGAGGCTTCTCTCATTAAGTCTAGTCTCTCCAGAGTAGACTACATATGGTAGAAAATTTTAAGTGTCTAATATTTTAGTACTTACTTCTGAGTATGCCATTATTTTGGACTATATTATAAACCAAATTATTTTCTCAATTTCTTTATTTTAGGTTTTTTAATTGCTTCTTTTAGATTTTAAGCATACTTTTTTTTAAAACTGCCTTTTCTCTTGTTTACCTGTAAAAAAAAAAATAATAATAAAAGGACGTTTAGTTGCTCATTGTAGTCTCAGAATTTTTTATTTTATTTTTAAGATAGGGTTTCATATAGTTGAGGCTGCTGAGAACTTACTGTGTCACTCAGCAGGTCACAAATGTATAATTCTCGAACTTCTTCCTGTTCAGCTCTTCACTGGAGATGTTTAATGGAAAGTGAAAACCAACTCTTGGAAGTTGCTTTTTCACATACTCTGTGGCACACACACCAGAAATAAAACTACCAACAAAGCTATAATTAAAAGCACAGATCCTAATGCTCAGGAGACTATAAATGTTCAACAGTGAGTAATGTCTTATCAGGATAAGTTTGATTCTAGTATACTTCTTAGTGTAAGTACAGGATTCTCATATTCTCTCTGGTTTGGCCATAGTTACTGGTATTTAATTGAGTATTGTTTTCTCTTTACTGGGTGACAAAGTGTGAATGTATTCTCAGAAACAGGGTAGAGGAGTGGTGACACATGCTTTTTTAATCCCTGTTTGGGAGGTAGAGGTAGGAGGATCTCTGAATGTGAGGCCAGCCTGATCTACATAGTGAGCTCCAGGATACCCAGGGTGTCATAAAAAGACCTATCTCAATAAGTTAGTAAGTAAAAGGTAAACTTTACATTTTTGCTCCAAAATGCATTATCTCAAACTAGCATAACAAGAAGCTTTAAGAGAAACGTAAATAAACTAATGTTTTTAAAGGAGATATTAGAAGCTGCAAGAAGATAAAATAGGTTTAGTCACTATTCGAGAAGCTATGGGAATTTCGCCTGTTTTGTTTGTTTGTTTGTTTTGTTTTGGTCTTGCTGTGATTCATAAAGCCTGTTACTTTTGTGTGCTTTTATCTCAATTTCTAGGTAAAGAAGATACTCCCTCACTTCTTGGTCTTTGTGGGTCCCTAACATCAGTGGCAAGTTACAAGTCCCTAACAAGCCTAAAATCCAATGACTGCCTTGCAAGCCCCACCACGGAGATAACAAGCCCAGGCCTGACTCCATCCTGAAAGACTATGTGAAAACCCAAAGTTTCTGTATTGTAAATATTCTGTTTACATACGTTTGGATGCTGGGGAGATCTTTGAAATTTTATATTCTGGTACATGCGTGACATTTTGTTGTTTGGAGATTTCAGTCCAGCCCATGTAAAGTACTGAGGGAAAAGCATAGTAGTCCCCTATTTTTCTTTTTAAAATATTACATTTGTCACTGAGGATGTTTAAAGTTGAATAGGCTTTAAAAATCTTACAAAAATTGTTTGAATTCATTATAAATTGTACATAGTTGTTATTCAACTGATTTTTTATATTTGTTTAAATTTGTCTTGGTGTCTAGAGACCAGGTTTTATTCCAGAGACTTAAGCTTAGCAGTTTCTTTCACTCCTTTATTTGGTGGTTAAATTTGCACAAAAGGCAACTAGCTAATTCCATTAAGAACTTCCTGCATTCTGATGTCTGTAACGCGTGTTAAGGGCAAGTCCCAGCTGCAACCAACAGCTCTGTAAGCTTTCCTTTATCATTTGGTACCAACTTTTAGCATCTCATAAATTTTGTAGAAATGTGCCTTTTTAGGCGGTTCCTGACTTAATTTGTAAGGTATAGAGGAAAAGCATTTTATGTAGAAGAAAATGAATGCATTTCTTAGACTTATTTTCCCAGGTGTGCCTAAGATATTGGAAACATTTCAAAATACAGAACAAATGTTGGCAAGGTGTTACTAACATCAGGAGTTTTCATTTTAATTAGTGATTTGAGAACTTTAAAAGAAAAACTCCTGAGTGACCAGGATATCTGACTGGATCTGTGTCTGCGCTACAGTGCTGTTTTCTGTGTGTGCAACATTGAGTTACATACTGGTGTTTCACAGCCATTACCACTATGCTGTGAGTTCTCATTGTTCAACCTGATCTTAGTGTTTAAAATTCTACACTTCTGCAGAAAAACAGATTTTCTTTAAAAATCTGTGTTTCAAATTTTTTACAGTTTTGAAACAGCTACACATGTCTCTAAAAATTCCACCATATTGAAAATGAACATGTATGAAGTGTATATTCTATAGTATAGTGAGGCATAGGAGGAAAACATGTGTGCCAAAGACGTTTCCTATGCTGCTTCATGAAGGAGCCACAGTGCTCACTCTTGTCTGTTGATTTTTATGTTTAAACCTAGCAGCTGTGGCATGTAGGAAGTACATCCCTCACTCCTAAAAAGCTTCCTGGGGAGAGCTAAACTCACACGTTCACTCCTTGTGTCCAAAGTGTAGGGGTGGGAGGTTCTCGGCAATGGTTGGAGCTTAGTCTCATGGTGTGGAATTAGTCGATAGTAACATGACCAGTGTCACATGTGAGGCAGTGCAGTCACTGATCTCTCGGGTAAAGGAGTCCTGGAAGGTCGACATAGACATTGCATTGGACGGCTGAGAACATACTGACAGCTTTCCTTCTGTAGCTGATGTATTAGAGCAGAGCACCTCCATCTGCTCTGAACTATGTACACTGGCCAAAGCCACTTGGAAGTAGTGTCAGGAATAGCAAATGAAGACAGCAAGCCTGCAGGAGGCTGCATGGGGACTTGGACGGTCGTGAGAGCATTGGGAATTTAGGCTGGTCATGGGCACGCCTCTACTTTCCTAAGAACTATCAAAGTGTTTACTGCTCTTATCACCATGGCCAGCTCTCACCTGTCATTTATGATTTTTTCAGATGTAAAACCTTGGTAAGATTTTTTCATACATTTTTATAAAGTAGAAGGGAATACAAGATTGCCCAGTTGGTACACTTTTTCAGATCTGTCCAATAGAAACACTAGTTTGTGACATATTCCTGCTGCAACTGCAGACTGAGACCTGACACCTGAGGGTCATACTTTCCCTCCATTCTTGGAGTTCTTGATGGAAAGTTCACCTGCTACTGTAGAGCCCAAGTTTCTACAGTTCATCTCCAGCTAGATGCACTTCGTAATGCTTGCATGAGTGAACAGCGTCTCAGTCTTTAATTTTCAGTGGTACTGTTTATTTTTCAGAACCCCACAAAGAATGCTGGCTTATGTCTATCTTTCCATCTGTATTTTGTTGCCTTGATGTACTACATTTGTTGCATGTATATTAAAGATTTTTTTTAACCATACAGTACTGGTCTTTTTCCTTGACAAAAATAGTTACCTGATTCAAGTGTTCACTGAACTTCTATTTCAGCAAATAGAGTAAATAGTGGGGACTAATTAAACCCAATACACTAATAAATATTATTGGAGAAAACCCTTTTATTGAGGTCAAATATTATATGACTTTTAAAATACTCTTTATAGACCACATGACATTTTGAGAGTTACTGACTATATATAGGACAGTAGTCCCATGTAATTGAGAGAAGTTGAAAAACTCCTATCCCTTAGTGACATCACAACTATGAAGCTGACAAAAATTCTGATATATTCTAAATTTTTTATACTTCAAGAACTAAAGGGTAGGGGAAAAGATAAAGTTAAGTCAACCAGTAGTTTACAGGCAAAACCCCAACACAATTATAGTCATGGGCCTGGAAATATGTTGACATGTTGCCATCATGTGGCCGTATGATGTAATTAAAATTTGGGTTTCCCTGTTTTAGTAAAGATAAGGTTAAAATTCACTGACTATAAGACAGATTTCTCCTATATTCCTTTATTCATTTTTTGGACTTTTCCAGAAGCATCAGGACTGACATGTAATGGACTTGGGAATTCCTTCCAAAGAGCCCTTCTCATCTCCGTGTGGATTAGTCTGTGTATCTACACAGTTCATTTCCTGACTCCCCCAGTCTTGCTCTGTGGATTAGTCTGTATATCTACATGAGTGTATTTCCTGACTCCCCCAACTGTGTGCTGTAACATGGATACAGGCAAGGCAGAAAGAAGCTGATTTTTTTTCTATGAAACTCGGGCCTAAACTGTGTATAAATAAGCCCTTTACCTGGTACCAAGCAGCAGGCAGTGGACCTCAGTTTGGTGACATGCCTTAGCAGTCTGGTAAAATGTTCTTTCTTCAATATGAATTATAAACCAAATTATGTTTTCCTGAATTCAGTTTGCAAGTATTTTCTGCAGATTTTTTGGTTTATGTTCATTAAGGGGACTGGACTACAGTTTTCTTTTTTGTTGTACCTTCATGCAGTTTTGGTATCAGGATGATTATGGCTTCATAAAATGAGTTTAGCAGTGTTTCGTGTTTTACTATTTTATGGAAAAGTTTGAGATGCCTTATGTTAGTTAGATCTCATAGAGTTTGTAAACAATAGCCTTTAAAAATCATACAAATATTGTTTGAATCCATTATAAACTACACATAATTGTTACTCAGTTTTTTTTTTTGTTTGTTTGTTTTACTTTTAATCGATTCTTTGTGAGTTTCACATCATGCAGCCCAGTCCTGCTCATCCCCCGTCCGCTAGCTCCTGCCCTTGGCCCTTGCAACTCCACACCTGGCAGGCAATGGCTTTCAAAAGAAAGAAATCCTATTAATAAACAAATAAAACCCACAATATTTTCCAGGAGTTTGTATATTGATAAAAATAACTATGTCCAGTCGTGGTTCCTCTTACTTCTAATAATGTTGAGGGCTTGTTGTTCGTCAGTTGAGAGCACATTCCATATTACCCTAGCTTCTGTTCAACTGGATGAAAATAGCAAGACCAAAGTAATAGAGATGGCCGGGTATTCCTTTATAATTAAAAGATTAACAAGGTAATTACACATTTCTTCTTAAGTAATACTTGAAGCTCATCTAACTATTTTCACCATAAAATCAGTTTTGATGAGCTGGACCGACCCATTGCATGAGCCTATAATCTCAGCACTGAGAAGCAAAGGAGAAGCATCATGAGGCTAAACCCATCCTGGGCCATTATAGAACAAGCCTTTGTCTTTGGAAATTAAATATAAATAAAATAAAAGTTAGTTTTACTTTACTAAAAATCTTTTATTAAAGAATTAAACTTGGTAAGTTTATTTTACCTTTGATAATTTAAATGAAGAATCCCTTTTTTTAGTTTGAAAAAAATAATTCATCTGTGTTATAGTTTTAGTATAGAAAAATAAAACTGTATCATTGATCCTTTTGTTTTTGTAAAGGAACTTTACACTTATTCCTAATACCTTTAAAAAGATTTTAACTAAACAAAAGAGGGGGAATGGTACCCCCCAGAAGGAGTCCCCCTGAAATACTCTCCATCATGCCTTGTTCACTTTTAACTCTCTAAAACTGAAAGCTCATGGCAAATCTGCTGCTGACTGCCTCTGGCATCACCGAGACCAATAAAAACTATGCCACAGCTATGTGGAAGGATCCTCTTACCCTTAAAGGGAATGGCCCGGACCCAGTTCTCTTATGGGGCCGAGGATTGATACGGCTGTTTGATACCACAGAAGGCACAGCTAACTGGCTACCAAAAAGATTAATGAAGTAAATAGATACCCCCCACAAAGCCAGGCCCAACCATAAATACGATGAATAACAATTGACAAGGAAGAGAAATCTCCCTGAGAATTCCCTTCTTTTTCCTTTCCAGGTAAAAATGAATCACCTGTGATGTCTGCTGTTAGAAGTTCTAATCCAGATGCTGGCCTCGGAACTTATACTACTCAGACTTTGGCCATTGACAAGAACATCAGACAGCTAGAGATTGACATCACTAATCTGAAGAAATCCTTCGTTTCGCTGTCTGAAGAGACCTCCAAATATCACAAAGATCCTTATGGGACTTGATTTACTCTATTACAATAGAAAAGACTGTGTATAGCTCTAGACTGTGTGCAGCCCTTAAAGAAGAATGTTGCCTTTACATAGACAAGACAGGGATGGTTAAAGAGAGCATGAGAAGGGTCAGAGAAGGACCTGAGAAAAGACAGAGAAAGAGAAAGATGAGAGCTGGATCAAGAATTGGTTTTCAACCTCTCCAGGGTTGTCAACCCTACTTCCTCCCATCTTGGGACCATTAATTGGGTTATTTTTGCTTATTTCTTCTGGTCCCTGGGCCTCAAATAGGCTGACTAACTTTGTGAAACAACAGATAAATAATTTGGTAGCAAAACCTATTCAGATACATTATCATAAGTTAGCTATGGAGGACCACGCCACGAGACTCAAGATGAGGTTGTTACTCTATCCAGGGTGTTCCCAAAACCCATCTCCACCCAACCTAAAAGAGGGGACTTCCGCCCCTAGACCAAGCAGAGAGGGGCCACCCAGAACCCCCTCTGACAGGCGATCTGAATTCTTGCTTAGGCTGCAAGGCTAAGACACTGCAAGGGAATATAAATAAAAGTTAAAAATATCTCTCTGGGTTCCCTGAGGGACAAGCCTGACTGCATAGGGGTTGATGTCAAAAGTATCCCCTCTCCAGGAAAAAGACATCGGGATGGGTATGGCCCTCATGCCTCACTGGACATCAGGGGGACTGGAGCCATTACAAGGTCCCCTTCAATTACTGGAGGGCAGGCCTCTATCCCTGCCTTAGCAGGATTAGAATCACCACAGCCCTTCTATACTTAGAGAAGGGAGGAGATGTCAGGGACAGCCCTGCTTATACACTGAAGGCCTAAAATCAGTCATAGGCCTAAAATCAGCAATAGGCCTGTCATACATGTATACTAACACCAAGTCTTGGGTCTCTGTGGAAAAACATTGAAACAGATGGCTACAAGCTATTATAAACAGGCAGTTTTTGTGGAAATTTACCAGCCTGAGTAGTCATAGACCTTATAAATAGGTAACCCTGGCAGACAATACCAACTTAAATAGGGACAAGTGAATCATAGGCAGAGTCATAGCCACCTGTCCCCTCAACCTTCAGCCAGCCAACACCCTGTTCTGAAAGATATCTGTACTCCCCCTGAACACCCATGCTCCGGTGTCATCCCCTCCCCCACATCCTGCCTTTTTGTGTTTATAACCCCTGTGTGAATGAGTAAAAATTATGATTTGAAAAAAATAAATAAATTATTAAAAAAAAAGAAGACACCATGTTGGTGTCCATGATCCGTGACCACCCCTCCCCTCAAAAAAGAAAAGAAATCGTACAGACAGGAAGCCATTAAGAGAGTCCTTGAAATCTGTGATAGGGATGCTGAAGTGTAGCCCTTCACAGTTCATGGAGCAGAGGTGAGCGGAGGCCTCTGGCTTCTTTAAGGGGCTGGCCACTATTAGTTTGATCATGCTCTAGTAAGTATATGGGCAAGACAAATTGGGCTCTGTGCATTTGTTTTTCTTTTCTCTGGGGAAAGCACAAGGGTGGGAGGGTGGACCTGGGAGGAATAGGATATGAATGGAACCACGATGCATTGTGTGAAATTCCCAAATAACCAAGAAAAACATTATGTTGGAAAAAACATTTTATAAGTGAACGTTAAATGTTTAATTAAATAAAAAAATTTTAATTAAAAAAAGATTTTAACTGAAACAATAAAGCAACAAATAAAAAGTTGTGTTCAAAGCTGTATAGATGGCTCAGTGAGTAACAGCACTGGCCGCTCTTCCAGGGTACCCAGGTAGTGTGTACTAATGATACAAATCTAGTAGTCCACAGGCTGTGGACATGGTGACACTGGCCTATAATTCTCCAAACTGATAGGCTGAAGCAGGCTGATAGCTAGTTCTAGGCAGTCCTAAGCTATGTAGGCATGTCCAAAAAGAAAAGAGGAAGTGTTTAGATCACTGGACTCTACTTTAAGCCACTTCACATTATATAAAGCAGTGATTTGTCTGGCTGTGTTGCCCAAGAAACTCCTTCATTTGAGGGGAGGGTAACTACAGCCCTGGGTAGACCTGGAACTGCACCATCTGTCATGTGTCACCCAGCCAGCAAAGATGGGAATTGTAAGGAATCACTGTAAGTTTATTCAGGAGAATTGAAACTATGGGGACATCTGATCATATTAAAATTATATCATGGAAACCAGGCCCAAGAATTTACCAGACACACCAGATCAAGGAGATATGTAAGTTCCTTTCCTAGAGCATATAAAGTGCTGAACATCTAGCATTAAGGAGATGACTGCACACCAACCAATCATCTGATGCCTGCTGTGAGCAATGAGGACCAAGGACCCTCTGAATCTGCTTAGTCCCCTATTGTTGACATCCTGTCTACCT